CAGCGGAGGCTGCAGCCTCTACGCGTGAAACGAAGCATCCTCCAAGCCCTTGTTCCAGAGCCATCTCGACCTGTGCTTAAAGTGGGGGCCTAAATAGCTAGAATAGGGTCTTGGGGTACAGTATAGTAATTAGAACTAGAATAAGGAACCATCGGGAATGATATTGGTAGTTATCTAGGATTCTAGAGTAATTGAAGCATTGGCAAACAGAGCGGCCCTGCAATCAGCACCGAAGCGGCACCTCTGTGATCCCCGTGCGTCAAGCCAAGGAGCAGAAGCCCTGATACCTGCGTCAAACCTCTGAAATGGCATGTCGCACGGCTCTGGTGCCAGAAAGTTTCAGTTCTGCAGTAAGGTAAGTCCCATTACCGTCACTGCCCTTCAAGAGCATCCTTAGATTCTCCGAGCCCCTCTGCAAAAATGTCCGAACACTGCAACACTTCCAGGACGCGAACAGGCTTCAACAGCGAACTACCTCGGAATGCGTGTTGTGCCGAAGCCCAGAACGCAACCACTTGAACCCACAACCCGTCAATCAAGCCGAACTCGGATCTTATCCTAAACCCTAAACCCTAAACCCTAAACCGAGCCCGTTCTTGAGCCGCCCATGGGCACGTCGCAGATCTTCGCTGCTCAGGGCGTCGAAAGGCGGTGGCAGCGGAAGGCTGGCGGCTAGGAGCACCCATTGCAGCCTTAGGTTTATGTAGGGTTTAGGGTTTCAGCACTCACTCTCGGACATGCCTAGGCGAGGTTCCTGGTACACGACGATTGCACTTTGGCACTAGGAATGGCACGTATCACCATCCCACAAAACATTAACTGCTACCCTCAGGTTTTAGGGCTTAGGGTTTAGGGTTAAAAGAAGTAAGGGAAATGCTGAGGGTGTCGTTTGGGCAGTGTCGGGATTCTGGACAAAATTTCAGGCGCTGCAGCATCAGGAATCTTTAGGCTCTCACTCGGTTGGAAAGAGAAGTAAAGCTTTGGGCTCTCACCTTTGTGGGAGCAAGGGAAAGAGGTGGGGATCTTTTCTAGGGATGGGTGCCCTGTTGCTGAGCCTTCAGAAAGCAATATTGAGGTTAACTTTGGAGGCCGATTAAGCTGGAACACTGGCTTCCCACCCCCCCAACACAGCACCCTCTCTATGTATAAACCGTGATGCACCGCAGTTAAGGCCAGGCCGTCGGGTCAGAGGACAAAAATCACGACACTTCAAATGCAAGCCCTACCCCTAAACCTCTAAACCCCTGAAGCTCTAAACCTGTAAACCCCTGCAGCTCTAAACCTCTTAACCCCTCAAGCTCTAAACCTCTCAACCCTCTAAACCTCTGAACCCCTGAAGCTCTAAACCTCTCAACCTCTAAACCTCTCAACCCCTGAAGCTCTAAACCTCTCAACCTCTAAACCTCTCAACCCCTCAAGCTCTAAACCTCTCAA